TTTTTTACCCCAAAAAAATCCCTTTTTTTACCCAAAAATTCCCATTTTGTACCCCTAAAAATCCCTTTTTTTACCCCAAAAAAATCCCTTTTTTTACCCAAAAATTCCCATTTTGTACCCCTAAAAATCCCTTTTTTTACCCCAAAATAATCCCTTTTTTACCCAAAAATTCCCATTTTGTACCCCTAAAAATCCCTTTTTTTACCCCAAAATAATCCCTTTTTTTACCCAAAAATTCCCATTTTTTACCTCAAAAAATCCCTTTTTTTACCCCAAAAAAATCCCTTTTTTTACCCAAAAATTCCCATTTTGTACCCCTAAAAATCCCTTTTTTTACCCCAAAATAATCCCTTTTTTTACCCAAAAATTCCCATTTTTTACCTCAAAAAATCCCTTTTTGTACCCCAAAAATTCCCAATTTGTACCTCAAAAAATCTCTTTTTTTACCCAAAAATCCAGTTTTTTACCCCAAAAAAATCCCTTTTTATCCTCCAAAAATCCCAATTTTTTACCCCCAAAAATCCCATTTTTTACCCAAAAATCCCCATTTTTCCCCCTAAAAATCCCTTTTGTTACCCAAAAAAATCCCACTTTTTACTCTAAAAAAATCCCATATTTTCCCCCCAAAAAATCCCATTTTGTACCCCAAAAATCTTTTTTTCCCCAAAAATCCCCATTTTTCCCCCTAAAAATCCCATATTTTACCCCAAAAATCCAATTTTTACCCCAAAAAATCCCATTTTGTACCCCCAAAAAAATCCCAATTTTTCCCCTTTTCTCCCCAAATCGCCGTTTCTCCGTTTTTCCTCAGCGCGACTCCGGCAGCAGCACCGGGGGGTCTGGGGGAGCGGGGGTCAGGCCCTTCAAAATCCCTTTTTTACCCCAAAAAAATCCCTTTTTGTACCCCAAAAATTCCCATTTTTTACCCCAAAAAAATCCCTTTTTGTACCCCAAAAAAATCCCTTTTTTTACCCAAAAATTCCCATTTTGTACCCCAAAAAATCCCTTTTTTTACCCCAAAAAAATCCCTTTTTTTACCCAAAAATTCCCAGTTTTTACCTCAAAAAATCCCTTTTTTTTCCCCAAAAGTCCTTTTTTTACCCCAAGAATCCAGTTTTTTACCCCCAAAAAATCTCATTTTTTGACCCTAAAAAATCCCCTTTTTCCCCAAAAAAATCCCTTTTTTTACCCAAAAATCCCATTTTTTACCCAAAAAATCCCACTTTTTACCCTAAAAAATCCCATATTTACCCCCCAAAAATCCCCTTTTTTTACCCCCCAAAAATCTTTCTTTTTTCCCCTAAAAATCCCATTTTTTTACCCCCAAAATCCTTTTTTTTCTCCTCCTAAATATCACATTTTTTGCCCCTAAAAACCCCATTTTACCCAAAATTCCAATAAAGGCTGCTCTCACTCCCAAACCCCTTTCCCTGCCCCCCCCATTCTTCCCCATTTTCTCCCCAAATCCCAATTTTTGTTTTTTCCCAAAATCCCGGTTTTTCCCCCCAAAAGACCCACACTCCACGGTGACGTTGAAGGCCAGGCTGCTCTCACTCCCAAACCCCATTTTCCCTGGTTTTTCCCCCATTTTTTCCCCAAAATCTCAGGGTTTTTCCCCCATTTTCCCCAATTTTCCCCATTTTTCCCAAAATCCCTGTTTTTCCCCCCAAAAGACCCACACTCCACGGTGACGTTGAAGGCCAGGCTGCTCTCACTCCCAAACCCCATTTTCCCTGGTTTTTCCCCCATTTTTTCCCCAAAATCTCAGGGTTTTTCCCCCATTTTCCCCAATTTTTCCCATTTTTCCCAAAATCCCGGTTTTTCCCCCCAAACCCCCCACACTCCACGGTGACGTTGAAGGCCAGGCTGCTCTCACCGTGCCGGTTCTCCTCCCAAATCCCAAATCCCAAATCCCAAATCCCATTGTTCCCATTTTTTCCCCCATTTTCCCCAATTTTTCCCATTTTCCCCAATTTTCCCCATTTTTCCCAAAATCCCGGTTTTCCCCCCCAAAAGACCCACACTCCACGGTGACGTTGAAGGCCAGGCTGCACTCTCCATCCCTTCTACTCCCAAATCCCAAATCCCAAATCCCAAATCCCAAATCCCCCCATTGTTCCCATTTTCCCCAATTTTCCCCATT